GCTGGAATTCTAAAGCTTCCTTTGTGAGCTTGAGCTACAGAATCCTTATAAAGTATTTTTAAAAAATCAGTACTCGCTCACTGATTCTTCTCATATTCTAACAGCCCTATCTATCATAGGAAATACTACGATATTTCATACGATAGGTGCGAAGCCTTCTGGGGTTCAATCCCCTTCTGTCCAGGACAACTAGCATTGTTATTTGATCAAATCTGTCTAGAACTGGCCACCAGCGACCTGCTGCTCATGAGCTCCTTCTCTAAAGACAAAGCCATCCATTCGCATAAGAGATTCCCTCACAAGGAAAGCACCCAAAGTCAATCCGCTGCTTTTCCCTGGGTGATGTGGGGGCCTGCTTCTAAGAGTTAGGTTAACCACAGGTGACACAGCCCCCTTACTAGCTTGACCTTGGATATGAAAACAGCAACCCCCATCAAGACATAGGACCCAAATCTCCACACAGTTTCTTTCCAGAGACTGGCATACAGTTGTGCAAGTTCTCCATCAGCTGCTGCCTAAGGCCTTGTGACAGGCCAAAAGACAGTTCCAGGTCTCCTGAAGCTTCTCTCTCGGAACCACTTCAAAAAGGCCAGTCTCAGAATCCACGCCCACTTTACCTCTCTCACTAGCACACGTCGTAGGCGTAAGTAAATGAGGCTGGTGAATGCGGGGACACAGAAAGAGAACTGGTTTTCTGCTTTGAAGACTCTCCTAAATTTTAAATTCTAGGAGAGATGTCACAATACAGAAAACACTATTTAAAAAAATTTAAAAAAAGGTACCACTTTGAGCCCACTAAGATCTCACATTGGCAAAATGAAAATAGATGTGCTTCTGAGACAAGGCCAAGTTTAAACAGTCAGTGCCTGGAACCTTTGGTTACAATGGTAACCATAAAGCCAAACAACTTGAGTTACTGCCTACAGTGTTTTTTTTTTTTTTTTTTTTTTTCTTCTTCTTCTTAGTGCCCTATCCCCAGATATTGCAGGTTTGCTTGTTTTTTTTTTTTTTTTTTAAATGAACTGCAAACAATCTATGTCTTAAAACGGCATGGCTATGGATAATGGTACACAGCCATTCTGTTGAGTATTAGAAGACATTAAAAATGACAGCTATGAAGCAATATGGAAGAATCTTTGAGAATGTTCAATGGAAAAAAAATCATGAAAAGTGCATTATACCATGTAACTGCTATGTGAAAAAAAAAAAAGGCAGTAAGAAAAAAGACAAGAAAATGATCGCAGTAGTAAGGTGACATCATCAGAGACCATTTTCTAAGTCTGGCATGTAGTTATATTACACTTAATGTTAAAATTAAATGGTTTAGAATTTAAATTCAACTCTCCATGAGAAGGTTTACATTTGGATCCATACTGTGCAAAACATCAGGTGCTATTTTTTACTTTGCTAGTTAAAGCTGTTTTACTCATTTTGATAGTTATGTCGTATGACATGACATGTTAAATGTCAACGAATTTTCCATAGGCAACATGCTAGGTTCTTGGCGTTTCAAAGGAGATAAAATTGTGTCAAGGAATTAGGTGAGTGTACCTGCTATAAATGACTTACCACACATAAAGCTAGGCGAACGGGAAACGCTATTCAGACCTCAACGGAAAACTAACAGATGCGAGCTTGGGATTCCTTGCTACACAGACTTTCCAAAGAGTAAAAAAGCACTTGTTCAACTGGCTGCGTATTATGGTTGTCCTACCAAACATGCTGAAGAGGCAAGGGAAGGGCTGGCGTCTTCCTTGGTCTACAGCACAGAAAATTCAAAGTAGCCTTTCTGGGCCCCGAGTCACCATCTCCCCCTGAACTGTGATAGGATGGCACTTACAAGGTGACAAAGTTACTAAGAGAGACAGATCTGCTTCCTAATGCCTCACTCTATTCTATTAGCTTCCGCTAGATCGGAAGCAAACACGTTCCATGTTACAAAGAAATACAGTAGTCACCGGCTTCCTTTGGAGGAAAAAAAAAAATTTACCAATGGAGACGTCAACTTCACACATCCTGTTTTCATCACATTTCTTTAAGAAGCATTTAACTTCTAAAAATAATTATTTTAAAAGTTATTCGTCCTCTCCACACTAATTAGAGAAAGTAAGAAAGAGTGCCGATCTGAATTCATCCAATTTTTTTTCTTCCTAATTTTCAAGAAATGGTGTTAATACTTTCGAACTCATAGAGTAATTAAAACTCTAGGCTAGCAAAGCTTCCTGTAGAATGTGATTGACTTTAATGAACAGACAAGGATGGTGTCATTTAGGAAACTTGTAAGTGGTCAGTAATGGGAGAAAGAGAGGCCTGAAACATTAACAGTCCCCTGTAACTATAACTGACAAAGCTGCTCTTCCCAGGTACAAATTTGCACCCAATCCTCCCCAACAGAGT